TGTAAACTATGTGGTTATTAATGGTTGGAATGCAACATGTGCACCCTGTCAAGCTAACCACTCTGCTTATTTTAGGCTAAATTCACAACCCTGTTACCCATTTTTTTAAACTTCAGTTATTTCAAATGAAAATAAAATAAAATAATGTTTTCATTTTGATTAAAACATGTTTTCAACTTTCCCTTCTGCTCTATGTTGTATTATCTACTTTATGTTTTTACTGCATTAACATCAACTTATTGCGGAATATAATCTGTGTTTTCAACCATTACTCACTTCAACCTTGTTACCCAGTCATTTATGGTGAAAATAGTTCATATAGTATCTGATGAGACAGCCCGATGTGGGAAAATAACATTTTCTGAAGCTTTAGCTTTTACTTTGATTAATACTTTGTCAAAAACCACCAAAGAAAAAATACAATTTAAAGAGATTCATGAATGAGTTCCTAAAAGTGCCACTATTGCTGTGCTGAATAAGCAGTGAAACTCATCAGAAGGAAAATATCCCTTTTTTCTGACAAAATATTCACCCATAAATACTAAAACTAAAACTAAAACTGAATAAAAGCTTTTTTCCCTTTTAAGAATATAAAAGCAAAATTAAAATTATTATGAATAAAAAAGCTACAATAAATTAAAAGAGCTAAATAAAATTCAAAACTAATGGAAAAATTTAAACTATTAATAATAACCGTGCTGGTGTATTTGCCCACACGGCTGAGCCCTTCTATCAGGAAGCCAGAGCTATAAGAACATGTGCAGCTTGCACTTGCTGTTTAGAGGTCTTAAGAGGTTTTGTGCAAGTGAGCATTTAAGATTTGAGAGCATTTATGTGATTGAATAATGGACTGGGTATTCATCTCAATAGTCATTTTACTTGACTAATTTCACTTTTGCTTCCGGATCAATTTTCAGTAATTTAGATATTTAAGTCTCTGTACCCCTAGTAATAAAATTTCTTTATATCACTGAAGCCTTTAATGATATTTTAGGGCCCAAACACACCAATCAGATGAAGAAGAACTAGCACCAAAGAGGAACTGATCGCCTCCGTCAGCTCACCATCGCCTCTGGTTTCCTGTAGATATTTGCACTTAAACACACCGCAGAAATACAGCTGACATGCATGGGCTTCATGTGCCTGCGCAACTTTCTAAAGCAGGAGCTGCAGTAGTATGTAAAACTTTAAAACTGCAACACACAAAGTAAAAAAGCTTAAAAACGTGAAATGTCTGTGTTTCAGCAAAACTCAGTGGCTAATTTGATAAAAGGACTACTTAAAACATTTTGGCTACTTTACATTAAACAGTGAAATAAAATGCATGAATGTCACATGTTCATAATTATATGAGAAACAATAAAAAATCCAATGAAATGGAATGAGTATCCCATGCTTTAATTTAAAATCATATGACATCAGAACCTTCAGAGCTTTCATGTGTCCATATTTATTCATAAAAATATTCATTATGTATGTTAGGATTGGACATTTGAATAGCAAAAGTGGTCAAAGTGCCCATGTAGTAGTGATAAAACTCTTGCACTGAAAAATGAGGATACCCTCTGTGCGCGCCCTCTTAAAGGTGCAGTTTGGTTTCTTTGCTCTCTTTCGTTTCTCTCGTGGTTGACTGCCAATGCTGATTCAACATACTCAGCTGGCCAAAACAGCACTGTCAAGAGGTAATGGCCAAAACCAATGCATGAACTATGGGCTACAGTCAGTTACCTTGGTGTGTCAGAGCCATTATTTAAAAGTAATCCCACTATTTTTTTTAATTATCTGCATAATTCAGCTGTTAAGATGTAAACAAACTCATTCAGAGTGATTTGAGGTGAAATACCTGCCTCAGAGAAACTTACTGAGTCTGAATTGTTCAATTGTTAACAGTGGTGGAGATAGGAACCAGACATCTAAAGAGTTTAATGCCTCTAAAAGCTCCTTCACAGAAAGTTATAACATTAAGTTGTTATGAATGTGCTGCCGAAGACATTTTTTACAATAATTTTGAGAAGATTTTTGCCTAAAAATGATTTTTGTAAACACATTTATGGTGGAGAGGAACATGCAGGGTGTTGTAAGGCCTCAAAGAAAGCTTCTTTTTTTTAAAAGATTTACTACTACTTTACCATTATCAACATTACACATAAACTCAAAAGATGTGTGGAGGTTCACTGTTGTTTTTCGACAGTAAATAAAATTCCTATATTTGTGTCATAGACATTGCAACCTCTGGCTCTCGACTTTGTTTACATCTCAACTGAATTATGTTGAACTTTAAAAGTTTGTTAGGCCAGTCTTCAGGAACATTTTCACTGATTTACAGTGGCAAAGACAAGGGCTGTATCTGATTACACGTCTGATAAATAAATTCTACTCACTGTATTTCCAGTTTGTGGCTGTTATGGTACAAATAAGCCCGAGTCACTCGGTATGCTGACAGTACTTTCAGTGTGACCTGTCATATGTATGACAAGTCAGAGAGTATGACTAACTGAGATACAACTCTTGAAGCATGACAGACTTACTGACTTGGCATTAAGAATTATTTTAAAATAACCTTAAACGTCTTTATCCATGGTTTTGATTATCTACAGATATAAGCACAGGTTTAAACAAGTTTCACCTGTACAGGCTTGTGATGCAAATAGTACTGTAGCAGGCAACACTTAGACCACCGATATGAGATTAGAGCACCACAGCTACCATCCAGCTTCCTGAATGTGCTCTGAAAGAGGTTTTCAAGTTTATTCAGCTTGCTGAATATGCGCACATGCTATAATATGAAGTGTGAATTCAGGTTGGAGATGGTGGAATAAGGAAAGTGGGCTTTAGGACATCTTTTGATCTGTGACATATAAACATGGGCACATTACATAATAAAGTTTAGAGATACATTTATGTGCTGGAAATAAACAAATGTCATTTTTATCTACTTATAATCAAACTGCAGTGAAAAGGTGTGTGTGTGTGTGTGTGTGTGTTTAGGCATAGAAACCATTGATAGCATCACATAGGAACTATCACACAGACATCATGCATGACAAAGGTGTACAGTGCTTTGCTCAAAACATAGAATACACTTAGCTACGGTAATATGAGTTTTGATATGAAAAATTCAATCAAAAGACAGATGGCCTAACTAAAGTGCTATATTATTGTAATATTTATAGTATGTAATTGGAGATTTGAGCTTATTTTTAGGGAATTTTACTGATTTGTTTATTTTATGTTATTTTAGAGCTTTAGCTGGGGATCACTGGTCATCTGGCTTTATTCCTTAAAGCTCATATATGTGTGCTTTGCTCCACCACAGTGTTTGTTTGCCCTTCACATTGTTTCACCCTAAAGCCTTCATAATTGCTCATTCTTCACAGAAACGGGTTAATTGTCTTTCTGATTGTGGCTAAAAGAAGCAGGCTGAAGACCAGAAAGTTAAACAAAACTCTGACCTTGTGACACTTTAAACTCACATTCCAATTGTCTGTCCTTTCCGTACTGGAAATGACAAAACAAGGTGTGGCAGCAAAACAGAGAGTAGGTAAAAAAGAAGCGCCATCATCTGGGCACAATAACACAAATGAACAACAAAACAACACTTAAAATGAGGGCAAACCCAATAACCAACTATGATAACAATCCCCATCAGTCATCCTGGCAAAATTACATATTAAAAATTTTGAAAATAAAGGCAAACAAAAATGAGTTTAAAAGTGTTTAATATGGAATAGATTATCCTGTTTGTTAGTTGCTCTGTTGGAAATGTTAACCTTGTACATGCATAGCTTTAAAAGAGCTTTATCAAACCCTTGATATGTAATAGATCAGACTGTCTGGATACTTAACCTCAGACACCTTACATAGCTTACTACAGCTTTTACATATCGTCGCTGTCCAATGAAAAACAAGTATCTCCAAACTATTAACTTTACAGGAGAAGGCAAAAAACACTCTTACCTTTCAATGTAAGTCGATGTAAAGAGATTTGGTTCCAAGTGATTTTAAAGCATTTCTATTGGTCCATTCATCATCATTTTTTAGACAATGTAAAGGACAGCTGGTGTGTTAAAATGATGTAGGAAAATCAACAAAAATGGAGATACATGGTTTTCGTTGGACAGCGATGAACATTTTAGTTCTAGTAATTCAAAGCACACTACATTGGATTGGACAATACATTTTGTCTGGTAGAAAAGAAATGGGCTTAAATAAATTTGACTTTTTAACTTAATGATTTGATTAACTCGTTTTTATTAGTTCAGTCTGCAAATAGTGTAATTGAGCTTATACACATGTTTGCATCTGGTGTTTTTGAGCAATACAGTTTAGTGGCCTACTCAGTACATTAACCCAATGATCTTTGGATACTTTTACAAAGTGAATTATGAAATTATTTCGACTTTACTGAAGTAAACAGGAGTCTATGATGACACTCAGACAATATCTGGTATCTATGCAGTCTCTTCCGAAACTGGAGACTGAGAGTGTGACGTCAGTTTCGGGGTTTTGATGGTATCTCTGAGGAAAGGCGACAAATGTGATGGAATACCGTCTAAAACTCACCGGTGGGCGAGGGGGGCTCATGAATCACGTGCTCGGTTTCACGTTTTAACGAGCCAATTTGTGCCATTTGGGCTAAAATGCTCAGTTTTCTGTCTATTCTCTCAGAGTTTAGCTGGTGGATCAGAGGCAACGCCTCGGCCGAAACCTGCTCATCTGGTTTTGGCGAGACTCCTCACTCTGAGAGAAAAACAGAGAGAGGAACATTAAAAACGTTCCTCCAAAGAATTAATAACCGCGAAAAGATGGATGTTTTTTACTCGAACATCCTTCACGGTTTTTTGTTCTATAGTCAGTTTTACCAAATTAACTTTAATCCGCAGCCAAATATGGCGCTCCACCATATATGGTAGGACGGAAACCTTATATGCCTACATTGATTCCGTTTTCCCGCCCACATCCTGGTCTCACCTGACGTCACGTTCTCGTGCAGGTATAATTGTCACCTGCTTTGGGTTTGATGTTATTCGAGTGGCGGACTGAGGTGAGGAGAAGTCTCTCTGAGGTTTGTTTAGGGAGGACTTTTTGGGGGGGGTTTTGGGTGGAGTTGGTGTCTTTCCACTTGGATTATATCAGCCTTTAACGTTTGTAAACTCTGTTGGGTGTTTTTTCAAACGAACGAGCGAATAATTTGGAGGAAAACTCGCGCCTCAGCGGGCTTTTCACCTCGAACCTTTTGTTTGGAGCAGTCCTTCGTGTTTTTTTTTACAAAAATTGTGCTTTTTTTTGTCGCCCTCAGAGCTCACATCCAAGATGAGGACCTTAATTGCGTTGTGTCTGCTGGCTTTTGTCGCTGGAGCTTCTGCACAGTGTGGTAAGTGTTTTACAGCTTTATGACCGCTGTAAACGGGCCAGTTTTCTTAATTTATCACTGCCTGTGTAAAGTTGTAAAAGATATACCACTCTCGGTAGCACTACTCGTGCTGAATTGAGCCCGTTAAGGCTTTGTTTTCCGTTGTAAAGTGATTTGCATTAAGCTTAGGCGACAAGGGCGCAGGTAGTGGTGGGGGAGGGGGGCAGGTGTGCGAGTGGCTGCACCTGATGTTCTTTCAGTGTAACGCCCACTGGCTGCCATGTCTCTGGCTCTCGGCCACACCTTTTGGCTTTGCTTAAGAACATAATGGCCCCTTTAGTTTTTTGCAGCAGGAGATGTTGTAAAATTTTCAGTTTGGCTTGGCTGTACATTCCACACTTAAACACTTAAATCTCAATGCTACAGTTTGTTCAACCATGAAATGGGCGACCTGTGATGGAAGTCCCTGTGTATGTACCCTTCCTGTTGATGACAACGTGAAGGTGTCTGTGGACTGCACCAAATGTAAGTTCCTGATTATTTTCATAGTAGTATTATTATTATTATTATTATTATTATTATTATGTAGTAGTAGTAGTAGTAGTAGTAGTAGTAGTAGTAGTAGTAGTAGTGGTGGTGGTGGTGGTGGTGGTGGTGGTAGTAGTGGTGGTAGTATGTTGGCTTGCTATGCTGTTTGTGCATGTTGGGTGTCTTCCTTTAACTTGGAGATGTGTTGGTGTCGTGAAAAGGCAGTTGATATACCAGAGGGGTAACTGTGTAACACTTCACTTTGCAGTGATTCCCAAGTGCTTCCTCATGAAGGCAGAAATGTACCGTGCCAGGAATAAACTGGACACAAGATCCTCAATCGGTGGGAAGCCAGTTGAGACCGCCTTTGTAGATAATGATGGGATTTATGATCCTGAGTGTGAATCTACTGGGCAGTTCAAAGCAGTCCAGTGTAACCGCACAGAAACATGCTGGTGTGTCAACAGCGCAGGCGTCCGCCGATCTGATAAAGGAGACAAGAACATCAAGTGTGAACCAGTGGAGACCTAGTGAGTAAACTTCTGTACCATTATACTGTGGTGTCTTAAATCAATCTGCATTCAGTTAATACTTGCATATGACTCAATGCGTTTGAGATGCTTTAAGGATGTATGCTCTTTAGAAATGGACTGATTTGATTGGGGGGGGTGAGTTGTAGGCTAACTACATGATTGTTCTCTGCCTTAACAGCTGGGTTCGTCTTCAGTTGAAGCACAAACAGCTAGCCACTCCCCTGGATGATACAAAACTAAAAACGTATGTAATATGACTTTTTGAATTTAGATTGTTGGAACATGCTTGGTAGTATCAAAAGTCTGTTTTGCTGGTATTAAGGGCTTTTTGTTTTGTGTGTGCACCATAGTGGGGTTGAGAATGCCATCTTGGAACGTTACAGCATCCCCAAGAACGTTGTGGAAAAAGTTGAGGTAAGAATTATTTTCAGACTGTCGGAGTACTTGTGCTCAAGTCCTGGAGGTCACAACTCTTGAATAATCCTTTTCTGTTTCAGTATGACAAGGATGCCCGTCTGATCGTTGTGGATGTTAAGAAAGAAATGGGGAATCGTGACATTGACCTGTCCCGCATGGCTTACTACATGGAGAAAGATGTAGGTTCCTTGCAGTATTGTTTCCAGTCAGTTGTTTAGAATTGAGCCTTGCTTTAATGTGTGTGTTTCTCCCCCCCCAAAGGTGAAAATCCTGCCCTTGTTCAGAAATCAGTCATCAACTCTTCAGCTCAGTGTTGGTGGCACCAAGGTGGAATTGGAGGACATACTAGTGTACTATGTTGATGAAAAGGCTCCCACGTTCACTATGAAGTCAGTGACAGGAGGTGTGATCGCAGTCATTGTGGTGGTCGTTCTGGCTGTGGTCATTGGGCTCCTTGTTCTGGTCAGTAGAGCACTTCCACTGCTTTGACAAAACTGGACTGTCATGATTAATTTTGTGACATGCTTTATTATTGATTGCACTGTGCTCTTTTTACAGTTCTTCCTCAGGAAACGAGAGAGGGCTCACTTCCAGAAGACTCAGGTAGCTATTGCAATTGTTGGAATTGTTTGACATGTTTGTCATGTGTTAGAATGCATCTTCCTTACTTATGACGACTTTTTGTTTTGCAGCAAAGAGAGATGGATCCCATGTCGTCATAGTGATGCCGTGGTTTTAGTCTTTAAACACTGGAGTGCTTTGCACAGAGAGCCGCTTGTATATTGCTTGGCTTTTTTTAAGTTGGGTTGTGTTTTTAATGGGAATTTAATGTGCCTGTTACATGCTCCACAGTTGTGAACAAAAATGGATCTTTTACAGTTACTTTTAAGCTATATTTAGATATAGTCCAGTCTTTAATTCCCAACCAGGATAAAGATGGAAATTTGTTTAGTCGGTCTAAACAGCTCATTGTGCGTCTAGATATTTAATGATGTCTCACTTCACTAAATATTCTCAGTGGATTTAATACATGTTATGTACAGTTTGTATGTCACTGTTTTTAATAAAAATGTCTAAATGTCTTAACTGGATTATCTGGTGTTTTTTGGTTCCTTTTGTGTGGGGAATTTTTTCTGGAGTCACTAACATGGAGGTTGATGTTAGACATCTTTTTAGCTTTCAGCTTGTCTGAATATTTTGATTAAACCTCAAATTGGTTAGTCTAGTCTCTTATTTTTAAAATGGGATTGCCCATAGAATAGACAAAGCACTGGCTACAAAGGAGTAGCACTCAATTGTGTGTACACATACTGTTTCAGGATATGCGAGGTTGTCTACAGACATTTCAGGTAGCGACTTGGTGGAAGAACACGGCTGGTATCGTGGGGGAGGGGAAGGGTGGAGTCTCTCCCTATAGATCTTTGCTTTTGTATGTGTTCAGTTTATACTATCTTATACTAACACATTTTACTGAGGCAAGAATGCATTTATTTTATTTTTCAGTAATCTGAAGTTTTGTTTTATCAAAACCCTTCTCAGTTGAAAAGGGTGCCTGGTAAATCTCCATTGATGGTGAAACTTCATCTGAAAACCGGCTTTACAAGTTCTTTACTTTTTCCCCTCCTTTCTCACACTGACTGTTCTGTTACCTGAGCACAATAGGTTTTTCTGTCTGGTTCTTTCCCTACTAAAGACTTTGTAATTTGAAACCTGGTGAGAGATTCCATATCATGTCCCTTCTTGCACGTGGTGTGGTGTATGCTGGTCTCACATAAATCCCACTGATGTGCTCATACTTGTGAAGCACTGGATGCTTCCTGAGGCAGGATGTTGATGTTTAAAGCTGTTAGGAATTTGTGAAATCTTGCTTGCCCACATTAAGAATGGGTAACCTAAAACAGCACTTCATGTAGCAAACAATTAAACTCAAACTTTAAAAACATTCAAAGTGTTTAGGTTTTGATATGTATAGATTTGATTTAAGTTTATTCTAAATGCAACTGTTCTATCAAATTAGAGGTTTTAGCTTTAACAGTCCATTTAGTTGTTTTCACTGGGGTTCTTCCTGTTATGAACTGTTTGGATGGGTATTCTGGCACAATACTCTAACATTTTAGACAATGCAGAAGTTCCTCTTTCTCGTTATGGAATCCCTGCGTGTGGCATTAAATAAGTAATGATGTTCATTATTTTCATTTTGCCCAGGGGAAAAATAATCCTAGCATACCAACACATTACACAGAGCTTAGTGAAAAACACACATAGTATTCAGGGTATTTTTGAAAGCTCCTCCTGTTCAGGCAGCCAGGAAGTGTCAGTTGCTGCCACACCTGTTCTCATGGAGCAGCAGGCAAATGTAAGGCAACATTTGAATGAGGCTCATCTCTGTGGTGGAAATCTGAGGGCATCTGACTCACTGTAGGCCTAGTTTCGAATGTTGTGAAACACACAGACACCTACACTGAGTTACACAGTAGATCTTCTCAGGACTGGCCTTAATCACTCTGCAAGGTGTTTCATGAAATACCCATTTGACTTTGACACCATAATACTTGAAGGGGAATTCCATAGAATTTTAGAAACATTTTAATTCAGTAAATCAGTAAGACGTGAGCAGTTGTTCCGAGTGGTTTGACGTAAAAGTCTCCATTCTAGAGAAACTAGGAACCAAACTCTAGTTTGTGTTGTTACATAAAATAAAATAGATTGTTTTCAAACCACATTTATGGCGGAGAGGTACATGCAAGGTGTCGTAAGGCAAAAGAGTCCCCAAAGAAAACTTGTTTCTTTGGATTTGTCACGACTTTATCAGCGTACTGTTGTTGTCAGAAGAAAACCTCATATCTCCATTTTTGACGTTTTTCGGCTTTTGACATAATTTGAAAATACCTACTGCCCTTTACATTGTCTGTGAATTTCATGATGAATGGAGCAAAAGAAATGACCTAAAATGACTTGGAAAGAAGTCTGGTTCCATTGACTTACATTAAAAGTAGCTTTTTTTCCTTCTCCTGTAAAATGATCCTTTTGGAGATACGAGGTTTTCTTCCCACCACAGCAATATTTAAGAAATAAAACCTCAGTGGTCGTTTTGGGGTAGTGCATAAAATGGTGATATTTGTGTTGTTGACTTTGTGACCCCTGGTTCCTCTCACCACCACTGTAAAGAAATCTGAGTCTGTAAGTTGTATAAGGCACTATTTCACATCAACCGCTATTAATGACTTTGTTTACATCTCAACAATTAATTTATGTAGAAATTCTCTGTATTAAAGTTCCCCTTTAATACATTCTCCATTTTAGGTGAAACATCATTAATTACAAAACAGACTGTGCCAGAGAGCTGAGGAGTGAGCCTGCGTGACTCTAATACTTGCTGCCTGGAATCAGGTTAGACCAGTCTGACTGCATTCAGTGTTGAACACACAGCCTGAGAGAGTGTTAGAGCTAATGCAGACTTCTCTCTCTGTCTTTCAGCCACAGCTGAGTTCAGGGACATATTTAGTTTTGATGGAAATAATGTGTTAGCTTTTAACAAGCATGCTCCTGAATGGCTAACCTGCTGGTAAAGTTTAACTGGCTCTACAAAAGCATCTATAAGCTTCCTGAAGCCTATTCAACATCCTTGGTGACAGACAGCTCACTGCAAATCTACTCTTCAGAGCAGCAGATAACAGGACCAGACCTACAGATTTAACTCTTGCCATGAACTGTTGTCACAAAAAAAAAAGGTACAAAAGGTACATTCATCAAGGTACAAACAATGTAAATGTGACTCCAAAGGTACGACAGTGGTTTTAGGTCCAGTTGTGTACCTTAAATAAGTTTTTTCCAGCTGAAAAGTACATATTAGTATATTTTCATAACCTAATGTTTTCAAACGGAACAATAAAAAAAAAGCCTGGAGGCGAGACGAGGTGTGTGGAGTCAATACATCTTAGGAAATATAATTTCAATGCATTATGGTACAATTATGTTCCCCGGCCAAAGCCACTGTGATGTACCCTTGAGGGCACCACTCCCTATTTATCTTTTAGAATTACTGTACCTTTAAGACTGATATATTTAATCTCTTAAAATCCCAGGCTTGTTACACTAACACTTACAGTTAACACTTACACTAATACTAACACTTATTTTTTCAGTAACTACAGGGACATTTATGCAAACTGCTTGAGCTACACTCTCAAAAATGATGGTTCCTCAAGGGTTCTTTAGTAAAGAAAATGCTTTTATATAGAACTATGAACACTTAAAGAACCATTTGCGTGATTAAATGGGTCTCTGCATGGTGAAATGGTTCTTCAGATTGATGGTGAATGTGTTGTATATGTACATGCAGAGAGACATTTAATCACGCAAATGGTTCTTTGAGTGTTCATACTATATAGAACCATTTTCTTTGCTGAAGAGCCCTTGAAGAGCTAAGTGTTTTAAGTGTGTATTCCTAGGTTATAGAAATGTGTAAAAAAACTTTGGGCCTGCCAGTGGGCCCTGGCCATTTAAGGGGTTAAAAGATCTCTGTCCTGATTGGCATACATTGCTTTTTTGTGACATCACAAAAACAACAAATGAACATTTGGCTGTTTTTACAGCTCAATTTCCATGTATGGACTGGGGAGTGAGCAGTTTTGAGCCTTTAACAGTGTTTATATACTACATCACACTCTTTTATATAAAAAAGGTCTTCTTTAAGCAGTAATCTGATTTTATTTCTGTGTGAAACTTATTTATCCTTGATGCTGAAAAGGTTAAAAAAATGACTGCGACAAATGTATGGAACTACTTTTCCTTCTCCTTCTCTCTGCTTCTTACACACACAGCACAGGCACTGATACACAAGGCTTTGTGAATGCTCTATAATGACACTCCTGACTATACGTGTCTTCTGAGTTTTTATATGTAATGTCGATGATGGCAAAGTTCTCTTTGGGGACTATTTTGCCTTACCACGCCCAACGTTATAATGGATTATAATACATTTTAAACCAAACCTTTATCACAAAAGTATTGCTAAGTATTGTCTCAGGCCCAAGCAGCATATATCTAACCACTTCATGTAATAATTATCTGTGAAGTTTCAGAGGCATTAAACCCTTCAGACGTCTGGTTCCTATCCCCACCATTCTGAACAAATTTGACTTTGTAAGTTTCTCTAGAAAGGAGCATTTCACACCAAACCACTCTGAACGACTTTGTTTACATCCCAACCATTTAATAATGTAGAATTTTGGTTCAGTTGGTAGAGTTCCCCTTTAAATCATCTTCTTTACGTCTCCTAACTCAGGCCTTCAGGGTTTGTTAATTATAGGAGGCCCATACTTTTAATGTTTTATCATGATGGTGACGAAATCACTGAACGTGACTTTAATATCATCCTATAAAGAAAGTTTTTCACACTGACTAAGCTCTCGGTGGGGGGCTGACTCACTCTCCACCTTGTTTTCCTTCAGATTCTTTTGTCTTTGCTCGACTTTTTTAGCCTCTTCCATAACAGAGCCTGCAGCAATCCTTTCACAGAGTAGTTCAGACAGGTTTTTGGGTGGGTCACTTTCAGCCCTCCCCCCTACACTCTCATACCTGAAGTCATTCAGTGTGTTTCCATGGCAATGGAAAGAGGAAAAGCCAACCAGGTGAGGCATGTGAAACAGTAGGCGGGACCCTGTGACGACAAGGTTGCTGCTATCGACGATACTGCAAAGCCGCTGACGGTTCAGTGAAACCACAGAGTCAAATTCCAGTTTTCTGGAAAACGTCTCAGGTTAAAAAATACTTCAGCAACTGTTCTTTGTTACTAAATTTAAGTAGGCCTATTGGAAGAGTTGTACTCAAGTATTACTGGAACTCGATTCGTGTACTTTAACTATACTTTTCACTCCTTACATTTTCATTTAGACTTTCAAACTATTCCTTACAAATCTGAAAGCCTGTGAGACTCTTCATCTAAAAAAATTATCTAGCCAATCAGCCAAGTTCCCACATACTTTACTGTTATTAAAACATCCAATTAAATTCACATCAGTCTAAAATAAAGGACCAGTAGCACCCATTAGCCACCCCAAAACACACCACCAAAAAAACTTTTTTGTTAACAAATTTACTTTTTACTTTTAAATACTTGAGTATATTTAAATGTTGATACTTTTTGGCTCTTTTCCACTTTTAATCTCATAATATTTTGACATAGGCTCATGTAACAGGGAATTCCACTGATTTTTCAAAATTTCTTTATAATTTAATATTTATGACATCAACAAAGTCATTCAAAGCGGTTTGAGTGAAATGCTTCTTTCTAGAAAATCAGAATTGTTCACAGTGGTGGTGATGTGAACAGTGTTCACTGCCTCTAAAAGCTCCCTCACGTTAAGTTTTTACATATAATGGTTCTGAGTACGCTGCCTGATGCCTGAGAGATTGCCTTATGATAGTTTTGAGATAAGGTTTTGGTCTAAAACATATTTTTAAAAGTCATTCATAGTGGAGAGGGAAAAATATTTCTCAGATTTACATTTTTTTTTATCATCAACATTACCTATAAAACTCAGAAGAGATGTGTGGGTTCACTGGTGGTTTTGGACAGTAAATAAAATGGTTATATTTGTGTTTAGGCATTGAGAGCCCTGGTTCCCATCACCACCACTGTAAAGAAATCAGTCTTTAAGTTTCTCTGCAGTTAACTATTTCACATCAAAACAATCTGAATGAATTTGTTAACATCTCAATGGTTGAATTAGTTACAATTTTTGAAAAATCATTAGAATTCCCCTTTACGTGCAGTTTCTCTGTACTTGTTCCACCACTGCTACTCCTCGGCTTAAAGCAATTCACCAAAATGGTTGCCTGCTGATATCATCTGTCTAGTTCTCTAGACTCTAAAGACCACAGAAGCGAATGAAACCTCTTCTACAAATAGACACAGACACACACACACACAAAATGCGAAATGAAAAATATGATGGTGTTTAAGCTTTAATTACAATTAAATACTATGAGAAAATGAACAAACATGTAAGTACAATACAGTAGATGCAGGAACCAAGAGACAGCACCTTGCCTCCTGTACTCTGGGATTATAAGATTGGCCAAAAACCAAAACTACTCAAGATATTCAGATAGCGCGCCCATGCCAGAGAACTGATATGGCAGTTAAGATCCATGGTGTATATAACAGCTTCACGCTGATACTTCCAAGAGTAAAACAGATAAGAGCAACACCGATTATCAAAGTCCTCTGTTTAATTTTGTAAATCATAGAAATAAAAGAGAAAAGTTATAGTGGAAAGGCAAGTTTACACACTCTGCACTTTGCTCTTATGCTCAGTATATTTAACCACAAGTTTGGTAAAATGTGAGGTTCCACTTCCTGTTTGTGCACTGAGAAAACCTAATAACAGTTTACTTCATCTCATAATACGACATTGACATAATCATGCCATAAACAGATCTTGGCAGAGTCCACCTCCTCGCATCTACACACTTCATCCATTTTATTAGGTCCACTTACGTGTATGTAGGTGCACTTTGTAGTTTTACAATTACAGACTGTAGTCCATCTGTGTCTTTGCATACTATGTTAGCCCCCACAGGACCACCACAGCACAGGCATTATTTGGGTGGTGGATCATTCTCAGCATTGCAGTGACACTGACGTGGTGGTGGTGTGTTAGTGTGTGCTGTGCTGGTCTGAGTGGATCAGACACAGCAGTGCTGCTGGAGTTTTTAAACACTGTGTCTACTCACTGTCCACTCCATTAGACACTCCTACCTTGTCAGTCCACCTTGTAGATGTAAAGTCGGTAGGGGTGTGTTAGTGTGCGTTGCGCTGGTACAAGTGGATCAGACACAGCAGTTTCCTAATGAAGTAGCCGTTCAGAGTATATTTAACAAAATTAGCATGTGACATAATCTGTCATGACAGTACTGGCATCAGAACAAGACACTGAGTGCTTTTACATGCACTTAATAGTCTGATAACTGCAGAAAATCTAATTTTATCAGCAATCCGATCAACGTGTTTACGTACACTTGAGTAATCAGATAATGGGGAAACTCTGGGTCTACATGAGTCAGGCAGGATTTCTGAGTAAGAGTTCACATGCACTGAGAAATCTGATTACTGAGTTAAAATCTAGCTCTCTTTATCAGATTTCTTAATTGGATTTCTAGACCTTACTCAGGTCTAAGAAAACAGAGTGTGCTGTTTACATGACCATTTGAATCATCAGATAACTGATTGACTAAAACAAATGATCGGATTATTATTATTAATAATAATTACAATAATAATTTCTATTTATTTAGCACTTTTCATGCCGGTGGCAGCTCAAAGTGCTTTATAGTCGGGTGATAAAAAAAACAGTTATACTAGAAATTATAAGCATTAATTTAGAATCATAAGAAAAAAAATGTAAAATGCATGTAAACGCACTCACTGTTTTATTAATGAACAAAATCCGTCATGACGGTATGACATCTTCCATGACTAGTTTATGGCATGGTTATGGCAATGTTATGTATAAAGGTTTAAGTAAAGTGTGACCAAAAATACTTGCTGTTCGCTCTGAGTACCCTTTTTGGCCAGAAGGGTGAAAAACCACCTTGAATCTCCGAAAACTCTTCCTCCTTCCAGAGCCATCCTCTCTTTTCTATGCCTAATGTCAGTCTTCTAACGCCAGCACAACACCATCCCTGCTCCAATACAACCTCCAAACATTCTTCATCAGTCAGACATACTTACTTTACTTCATCAAGTGAACAAATCTTTTATCTATATGCAAACGCTCAGCATTACATTCCATTGACATGTTTTTCTTTCGTTCACCCGCACATCTGTTCTACTGCAGCATTTCTTAGGAAGAAGAGTTACTGTTCACTTATTACTCTGGAATGTCCTTTTCCTTTCCTGAAGTCAGGGTAAACATATCTCTGGTATACATCAGTATTAATCATGGAGTTCATTAATTGATTGAATAAATAGCGTCTGCTTACATTTCTTTGAAATGATACTTACTTATTATATTTGGTTAGTCGATACTGGCTTTAGCCTATGTTCTGTAACACCTGTGGCCTCATTGTACTTCATCATATCATGACATACATAATATGATCCATGTAACTTTAACAGCTTTTCTGTGTGAGATGTAAGAAGAAAGGGAAGGATATATTTCTCAATACACCAACCAACTTCATCCCAACGACAGGCCAAAGAATGAAGCAATATGCAAATCAGGTGTAAGTTCCTGCTCCCATGCATTAGAGCACTTCCTCTTCATTTGAATATTTAGCACATGTTCTCTCTGAGTGTCAGTGTGGTATTTCACAAACGGAGAATGTTAGCCATATTATATAAGCCAAAAGGTTAAGCCTGGCCAATAGGAGGAGAGCTGAGGGCACATTACTACTGAACAGTCATCACTTTTGGCTTAAACTGTCCAGCTTGTGGGATACCTACTAGTGCACTGGTCACCAGGCCTGCTCCTGGGTTACCTGATCTACCACACCGATCCTTCTGATAATTGTTTTCAGAAGACATTGATTAGCTGGACATTTAGCTGGATGTGTTATTGGTGAAATCCCCAAGATGTGATTGAGAGACACTCCACTGGGAGGAGCATCACAGCAGTGTGGGAGCTTTGCTGGGTCTGGAGGAGGTCGCAGGAGGGGATTTGCTACGTTGCTCTCCGACTTGGGTCTGGGCCAGAAGCAAGGCTGGGGCTGAGAGATGGTGGGCTGCCGACTTCTGCTGGTGGGCGCTGTTGATGTAGCTGGCCATGAGTAAGGTCAACTCCTGGATCTGACACAACACAATTATTACCTTTACATAAACACAAAAGCCTGATTGCAACCCTTAGTTAGTCTAAGAAACTGGACATAACCAAGATGTTTACATGAGTTGTATAAAAGACTAGGCAATGTATAGTCCTGTTTACATGCATGCCAGCATATTCTGATTTAAAGGGGAATTCCACCGATTGTTCAAAATTTCTGCATATTTCAGAGACATCAAACATTCAACTTGGATTTTCTTACAGTGGTGTAGCCATGTAGCCATTTTATTTACTATCCAAAACCACAAGTGGACCTACATGTGTCTTCTGAGCTTTACCTGTAATGCTGATAATGGTCAGGGTTGGGAAGTAACAATGTATGTCACCTGTGATTGGCCTGTGAGTTACCAAGAAAATGATGGAAAAAGTGAAGAAAAGAAAAGCAGCTGATAAGGCAGATTAGTCATGTAATCCATAGAAAGCAATGATGTGTATATATTTTTGCAGGTAAAAACATGTCAGCAAAAAATTTCCATCCATGGCCTTATATAGAAGAACTATTTGACCTGGTTGGTTCAAAAAACATGTCTTGATGCTCTACCAAAAAAAACAAAACAAAAACAAAAACAAAAAAAAACGTACATTTTACAGATGATGCATGCAGGTCTGCCATAAACCATTCTTTATGTTCAATGTAATGGTACATCTAATTAATTAAAATAGAAAACTTAAATACTAAATGCATTAACATTTTTTAAATAGGTACTTTTACCTTTTCTCTCTAAGTACATTTAGGAGTGTGTGCTATTTTTACATGAGTAAAACAAGTAAAACATATATCAACGTTTAACAGAGCACTTGTACTATTACTTGAGTAATTGTGTACTTGTACCACAACTGATAATGATAAAATAGTATGATAAAAATATGATAAAAAAAAAACAAAACAAAACAAAAATCTTTCTGTGGGGACTATTTTGCCTTACAACACCCTGCATGTACCTCTCCACCATGAATGGATTTTAAAAATACGTTTTAGGCCAAACTCTTCTATCATAAACCGGATTCTCAGATGTCAGGCGTATTCCTAACTTTTTCACGAAATACCCTTCTGTGATGGAGCTTGTACAGGTGTACATGTGGATCCTGTTTCCTATCAGCACTGCTGTGAACAATTCTGTTTCTCTAGAAGAAAGAATTTCACATCAACCACTCTGAATGGCTTTGTTTACATCTTTGCCATTTACTTATGCAGAAATTTTTAAAAAATCAGAGGAATTCCCCTTTAACTCCCCCCTTTGTGACACACTTTTACATGTCATTTAAGCCATTTAAAAATACTGGCGACACTTTTTTCCTACCATCTTAAACATGATGTCTCTTTCTGCCATTTTTAATTTGATGGACGTCTCATCTTCATGCAAAAGTGCTGCAAAATCTCGCAAAAACACTAAGAGCCACAGGAGTGATCTATGTGTTTATATGTTTAAATACATCTCAAGTAGACTGGCTGATATCAAGCTGGACACATTTAACTTGCATTAAGCTTAGGGTGGACCATGACGATCCATGCTCTTTACATATTCATGTCCTAGACATACACCGAACCATTGGCATGCATGTCAAAACAGTCAATGAAGTAACTTTAACAGCAACAGGCTATATAGGACATGAGAAGAAATGGAAGACTATATTTCTCCATATGCTTATAGATTTCATCCAGATACCACACATAGGCTTGAGGAAGAACATACAGGTTTATGTCTATACAGATCTAAGAACTTTAAACACAAATCAGATATTAGGCATAAGCACTTAAATACAAATCAGTTATATTAGGTATAAGGATTTTGATATGCCGGTTTATAACTCTACATGAACTATAATAACAGGGCTGATACTATCCCTACCTTGGAAGGGCTCATAGCATACAAGAGCTTCTCTGTGGGCTTGTCTCTGACTGTGTTGCTTGCAGAGCTCTGAGACACCACCAGCATGAAGTCCTGGCGATAGCCTCCAAACACTGCAATGTTCTTGTGGGAGTAGGACACCAGGAGTTTCTAAACAATCAGGAGAGCAGGAGATGACTTAGGTACCTGAGAAAACTGCTTTTAATCACATAAAATGAATCAGCAGGGAAGTCTTCTCACTATGGAGGTGAATTCCAGCACGCTCAGTCCATCCTCATGTACCGCTAGCCACACGTGTGTGTTCTGCTGAGGAGAGGGTGACAAGGGCTACAAGCAAATGGAGGAAAGAAAGAGAAGCAACAAATAAAGAAAAACACTAAGCACCCTATATTGATCCATATATGAGCCACGCTCTCCCACCTCAGCCTCAAACAGCTTGGCTCCGAAGAAAGGCCACTTGCGAGCCACTGTCAGGTAAATCCGCACACACTCAGAGGTGCTCCGGCCCCTCAACGACGCCCACCGAGCTGAGAGCCTCTGACCTAACTGGCTGGTAAAACAAGGGGGAGGAAAACACAGCAGAGATGAATTTTAATTTATTAATAAATAAATAAAACAGAAAATATTAAGCTAAAAGACATTAGGTAGGCCTGTCTAGAAATACGCATTTGGCAGGTGTACCTAACAGGACGTCATTCAAGGTACAACAAGTTCCAGTAGTAATAAGTGTATTACAACTAATCATACAGGTTCCTCAACAAAGGGGAATTCCACTGATGTTTCAAATCATCTGCATAATTAAATGGGTAAGACGTAAACAGAGTCATTAAGAGTGGTTTGACATAAAATGCTGCATTCTAGAAAACCTTGAGCTGAGTCTGGATTGCTCACAGTGGTGGTGATAGAAACCAGATGTCCGAAGCACTTAATGCCTCTGAAAGCTCCCTCATAGAAGGTTATTATACAAAATGGATACGGACGCACTGACTGATACATTATCATTTTGAGATAAGCTTTTGACCTAAAATCTCTTTTTTTTAACCATTAATGGCAAAAAGGAACATGTAGGGCTTTATAAGGCAAAACAGTACCAAAAGAAAACTTTTTTTTCGGGGGGAGGACATACCACCATGTTAACATTGTCAACATTACATATAAAACCTCATGTAGGATCACTGGCTGCTGTGGGTAGAAAATAAAATGACTATATGTGCATTGTAAACATAACAGCTCCTGGTTCTGAACCACCACTGTAATGAAATCCAAGTTAGTAAGTTTCTCTACAATGAACTATTTCATATCAAAACACTGTGAATGACTTTTTTCACATCAAAAATACTGAATTATGCAGAATTATTGAAAAGTTGGTGGAATTTCCCTTTAAGTAAATCTATAACACAGGCATCCCTAATGTTTGTGTACTCTGTGTACCTGTCAGTCTAGAATGTAACTAAACTACAGCACCAGGGTGTGTTTCCCGAAAGCACCGCAGCACAAAGATCACACAATAGCAGTGTAAGTATCCTTTTGAATGGCTGGTGTAATAGATAAAGTTACTGGAACACTGTGATGCGTTTGGGAAGATGGCCCAGTGTGTTTCTATGTGAATGGCGTTTACCTCAGCTGCTCCTCTGAGCAGGCCCGTCTGTAGTGCTTCGGGTAAAAGCGCTCTAGAACCTGTTTGAGAGTCTGCTTAGATTTAGCCTGTCCAGAACCTGAGCCGCCTGCACAGGAGAACGGCCGCTCAAAGTCTCCAAACTCCACCTGTGGAGGATATAAAGGACATTTTGGACCAAAGATAAGCACTTAGAGGGATACTTAGCAGATCTTAAGTGAAGACTAACAGCAAGTAATCACATCTAACCAGATCTGTTCATTTCTGTTTCATTTCTTTTCATCCACTTACATGATAACATGTTAAAGGGCTCATATCATGGAAAAACAACATTTCCCTAATGTGACGCCTCCCTCTGGCATGGCTGGAACTACAGCCAACACAAAACTACAATTCCCAGAACCCCTCGCTGCCTCACATGACTCAGAACTCCAGCCGATCAGTGCTCAGCTTCACCAGACATGACTGATTACACACACACCTGTTCCTCATTTCAGGTGCTTGTTAGTTTGCAGAAACAGCCCATTTTGATTAATAGTTTTTTGTGATGTCACAAAAATCAACATATTTACAAACATATTGATATTTTAGCTTCGTAATTTTTAAATTTGTGGCTTTGTGGCTCTTTGTTTTGGTGCGCAAGTCATTTTTCCCACAATGGTCATATAAAAATGATTTATGGCTGTTTTGGTACATAAACACAACAAAATGTAATAAACAGATATAAAAAAAATATACGAAACATGTCTTTTAATATTTGTCCAAACTTTTGAAATTATGAGGTAAATGGAAGTGTTACTTCAACTAAATCTAACCATCATGGGAGGAAAGTATATCATTTTGCCTACACTGAATCTCCCACACACCTGAGCGAGCAGTGCAGACATTTCTAAGGCCAGTTCTTTGTTTACAGGAAAGTGACCCGCTGCAATCTCCTCGTTAGTCTGATAGGCCAAAAGCAGGCGCTCTCTCTCCGTTTCTCCTCTCAGCTGCTGGGAGAAGTACAACCTAGAGGGGGGCAAGAGAGAGGGTGGTAGAGTGAATGAGGATGTTGAAATTATCGCACTGACAGTTCTCTCTCACTGAGCTGAGGCAGATTCTAAAGGCAGTTTTCTCCATTACCTGTTCTTGTAAGTGAGTTTCACAGTCCTGGTGTTCTCAGATTTGCCTGTGTGAAGCTCCTTACAGGCTTGCTCCCATTTAGATATGATGTCACAAATCTGTAGAGGTGGCCACAAATGCCATTACAAATACAGGAGAAATTTTATTTTCTAGATTCAGCTCTATATGTACTGAATTTTTTTACTGAATTGTAAAAGGTAACACACCTTTTTAGTTTTTAAAAATGTTATTAATATGTTGGTTAGATGAATACAGAAGAACACAGGCTAGGTTGCTGACTTCTTATTGCAAGGATTTGTCAAATTCTACCAGCACTTGATTTAACTTAATGAAGAATTGATTAGATAAACTTGGTATTTTTTGTAACTGTAAAAACTGGACCTCCTTGAGGATACATAATGTGAAAGGCTAACAAGCCTATTTTTTTGTGGATTTTATATGACATACATGAAAAAACACAAAATGCACTTAGATACTGGAAATGCACCTGATTACATAATTGGTTCGATTTATGGAAGTTTATGTGACCAGTTTTGCATAAACTTTTCTTTTAAAATCAGGTATAAATTACTGACAGTGTCTCAAAAGTGTATCGCTGGGAGACTTTCCTAAACCATGGTGGCAGTTAGGGCTGAGCAATATGACAATATTTACTAATATCATGATAAATTAAGTCAAGATATGCCACAATATGCTTTTCTGAGCATATGATGGATATTGTCAGTTCTTAAAGAACACTGACCAACTGCATGTTTCATTAAAAAGAGAGCTTAATTAGTCCTGTTTAATTAGATTTAGTGCAGAACAGTTAGCAAAAAGTTAAATGAAAATAATTTGTAATAATTTGTCAAACTTCTGTTTCTGCTTCAACATATCAGATGTCAGAAAAAACAAATATAATCGCTCACTACTAGTAACAATTTTATCTGGTAATAGAAAGACACTACCTATTTAAGACTCCCTGTGTCATTGTGTTATTGTTTCCTAAATTCTAATGAGCCAGAGTAAAATCATGGCCCATGAATGTTTTAGTGAGAAAGAACTTTATTAACACTACAATCCCTTCATGACTCAACTTACATTTTGTCTTTTGCCCTGAGCTTATTGACTGCTCAATGGTTGCCAACGTCCAGTACTTTTGTGCCTTTCAAATCCTGCACTTCACAAATATAGCGCAATTAGTATGCAGTCCTGTGTACAGACAGCATAATTAGCTACAGCTTTAGCAAACTTTAACATTCATTTCAGATGTATTGCGCTTACTGCGACTGCAACAGATCACATTTCTCATGTACATTCATCTGCTCTATAGTCTCTCTGTTCCAATTTCAGTTCATCTATTATTGTTCCATTATTTGTTCTGCTGTTGGTTCCTTCTATTAGTTCCTGAAAGCTACTGGCTCCTGTGCACTTTCCTGGAGGTGTGTGTGTGTGTGTGTGTGTGTGTGTATGGATTAGTAAGAGTCTGACCTTCAAACTGCCCTGCAGGTAGTGTTCCAAGGTTTGGCCTGTGGGGTCATCGGAGTAGAGACTAAAGCCAGACTGGCCTGTCTTTCTCATGCCAGTGTCCTGATTCAGACGGCTCTGGAACTCTTCCACTGTGGTGGAGGCATCAAAACCAACGACCTGTCAAAGCAACATACTTCATACAATCAGACACATTTAAAGCTCTGTACTTTTAAAGATGCTTTTCATTAATGAGCCCATCATTCTTAAAAACCTGGTAAGTGTTGTTGAGAAAGTGCACAGGCAGACTGAAGGGCAGTGAATGGTGGTACGGGTTCCTCAGTAAGATGGACAGGATCTCCATGCGCGAGGGTCTAGCCTGTCGATCACCTTTCTGTTGGGTTCTCTCCACTGAGCGCTGACAGTAGATGGCATACTTCCCCACCTCTGTCCTGTGGTTAGAGAGGTGAAGCGTTACTTTTTGATTTCATATATGACAGTATATACAATATACATTCTATGGCCACTTTAAAAGAACCCCAACAGCAGCTCTGTGGTCAGAGTCTGACCAGTGATGAATGGGTTTAGATGGCTGACAAGTGGAGCTGTGAAGTTAATAGGTGGGATACAGTCTGTAACTTTACAGTCTGTATAGTGGCTCCTTAAGGTAGGTTGACCTCATAGTGTGGCCAGTAATGTGGAACTACAAGACATGTACTACTAGTTTGATGAACAGTCAGTCTATGTCAGTCTGTAAGTGTGTCTTGACCAGATGTGGAAAGTAACACATTCAATCTACTCTTGTTACAGTACTTGAGGGTGTATTTCCCTGTAAAGGTACTTTTTTGGGTACAATTAAATCAAAGTGGTTCATTTCTAATAAAGTACTTTTACGTTGCTAATTAAATTTTTTATAATCATTACAGAGTAAAATCAAACGTGCAGTTTGGCTCATTTCCCCAATTAGAAGAAAGACTGGTTAAATTTAAAAAATCACTTCTGAAAACCAATCAAAGCAAAGTAGCTCAAAAAACACTACAGTTCAGCTGTGATGTGTTCAGATATGTCAAGTTTAGAGGAGACAGAGAGGATAACGTGAGGTTAACCAGCACATGAGGAGCATAATTTATCCAGTTTGTCATCTACATTACTTTTAAAATGAACTCCAGAATGATATTATTAGCAGCAGCCATCATACTTCTCAAAACTTTGCTTTTCACCCCGAGAAAGCATGCAAGCAGATTGCTGGATGTCAAACTAATCTTAGCTAAGCAGGTACTGTGTGCTTTTAATATGTTCTTCTTTAATATCTTAAAATAACAAGAATGATGAGTATTTATTTAAAGGGCCCATATCCTACACCGATCAGGCATAACATTATGACCACCTACTTGTTTCTGTGCTCATTGTCCATTTTATCAGCTCCACTTACTATATAGGTGCACTTTGTAGTTCTACAATTACAAACTGTAGTCCATCTGCACTGCTGTGTCTGATCCACCCAGTCCAGCGCAACACACACTAACCCACCACCACCACGTCAGTGTTACTGCAATGCTGAGAATGATCCACCACCCAAATAGTACCTGTTCTGTGAGGGTCCATGGGGGTCCTGACCACTGAAGAACAGGGTAAAAGGGGGCTAACAGAGTATGCAGAGAATCAGATGGACTACAGTCTGTAATTGTAGAACTACAAAGTGCACCTATATAGTAAGTGGTGCTGATAAAATGGACAATGAGCATAGAAACAAGGAGGTGGTCATAATGTTATGCCTGATCGGTGTATATTTATCTTGTGTTTTATTTTTTCCCTTGAGGTCCACTTTTAACATTTGTGTGGTTTTATGTATCAAAACTAGTCATAATTTACTTTCACATGACCATTTTCTAACCTCTCTTTATCCCTTAAAATTAAACAGGCTGTTATTGTTCTTTAAGCCTTTAAGACTGATATAAGATAAATGAGCTCTGTTCTGATTGGCTGTATTGTGCCTCAGTCTGAAGGGTCAGGGCTAAACAGCTGTAGGCTGAACAGGCAGATATGTAAATAAGTTGGTTCTCGTGACATCATAGAGATGATTCATTTAAAACAGGTTTTTTGCAGCTTAGTTTCCTGGACTACATGGACTGTAGTGAATGGTCTGTTTTGAAACTTAAACAATGTTTATCTTTTATTTCTTACTTCTTTATTTTAAAAGCAAGAGAAATATATGAGCCCTTTAAGATGCTGCATTTGTTTCATTGTGAGGGCCTGTGAGCTAACTTCAGTTAACATAAGCCAACATTTAAGGAGCTCATATGCAGTAGGTTTTAACTTATTTACTCTCACTAGAATGCTTTCCTTTATCAATATTTGTGTATTTTAAGTAGAGATGTTCAATACTCTTTCCACCCTTGGTGTCAACTCACCTAGAGTCAGCATGCTTTTTGAGGTGGACTTGAAGAAGCCAGAGGATGGGATGCTGGGGCAAGAAAAGCCCCACACACAGTGCCAGGAACTGCCAACCCTTTGGAGACAAACATGCACAAGAAAGCAAAAACAACCAATTACACTCACTGAGACACAAAACACTGCCCAACACTCCCCCTTGTGGAGACGCTGCACATTAACACTCTCCATGGTTTCACATTTGTAAACAAAGCACCTGTGCCCTCCCAGATGAGTCATCGCTGTGATCTCAGTTCAGTCTCCCATGAGTCATCAACAAGAACACAACAACAATCTAACCTGTAGTAATGAATCAGATTAGCTTGGAATTGAAACAAAAAATGAATGTGCATGAAAGATCGTCACGTTTTATAATTTGTCTTAGGAGGCAGAATTACTGAACCTGAACCAGCAGAGGTCTGTCCTGAGATCTGTAATACATGTCTGAAAGTGTTGTTTCTTACTAGTAAGTGTAGTAAATGAGTGAAGGTGTGAAGCAATGATCTGCTCAAAATAATGTGCTATTCCAAACATGTAACTAGGAATAGGGATTCTACATTACTGCTCAGAAATCATTGGGGATTCTGTACTAGCTTTAGGTTCAGGTTACTTTATTTGTACCTGTAGATAAATTTGGTTTGCAGTAGATGAGTCAGCATCCATCTTAACACAAATTTTACAAACAACACAAACAACTGACAATGACATAGAAAATAGAAGGTGCTCAAGGTTCCAGTCCAATTTGCAATATTACTACAACATATTCATCTGGGTAACGGCTGTTGGAACAAAGCTATTTTTATACCGCTTTGTTCTGCACTTTGGGACTATAAACCAACGTCTGGAGGGAAGAAGCTGAAATTCAGTATTCAAAGGGTGGGAGTCATCATTTAAAATTGAATCGGTTATCTGCCTTATCTGCCTAGTGTGCAAGGCCTCTAGGTTAAGCTGTATCAGCCTACAAGACCATTAGACTATTTGATTTAGGAACTTCCTGTTCCTTAAAGGTAGATTTCCAAATCACGCCATCAAAGAAAGGGTTGAAATCGATTCAATAAAACCACAACAGAATAAGGTCATCATGGTTTTATCAGTGTGAAAAAAGGACAGTCTCCTCAGAGAAAAAAGGACAGTCTCCTTCACAGTTTGCTTCAAAGTTCAGTTTTGAGTCAATAATTGTTCCGAGATATTCATAAATACTACTCAGATGAATGAGAATTATATACTATTGCCCACAAATGAATGAGGATTCTGTACTACTGCTCAGAAATCAATGACGATTATTACTCAGAAGTATGTAATTCTATACTGTTACTCAGAAATTATATGTAAATTTACACTGATCAGGCATAACATTATGACCACCTCCTCGTTTCTACGCTCATTATCCATTTTATCAGCTCCACTTACTATATAGGTGCACTTTGTAGTTCTACAATTACAGACTGTAGTCCATCTGATTCTCTGCATACTTTGTTAGCCCCCTTTTACCCTGTTCTTCAGTGGTCAGGACCCCCGTGGACCCTCACAGAAGCAGGTACTATTTGGGTGGTGGATCATTCTCAGCACTGCAGTAACACTGACGTGATGGTGGTGTGTTAGTGTGTGTTGTGCTGGTACGAGTGGATCAGACACAGCAGTGCTGCTGGAGTTTTTAAACACCCCAATGTCACTGCTGGACTGAGAATAGTCCACCAACCAAAAATATCCAGCCAACAGCGTCCTGTGGGCAGCATCCTGTGACCACGGATGAAGGACTAGAGGATGACCAACACAAACTGTGCAGCAGCAGATGAGCTATCGTCTCTGACTTTACATCTACAAGGTGGACTGACAAGGTAGGAGTGTCTAATAGAGTGGACAGTGAGTGGACACAGTGTTTAAAAACTACAGCAGCACTGCTGTGTCTGATCCACTCGTACCAGCACAACACACACTATCACACCACCACCACATCAGTGTAACTGCAGTGCTGAGAATGATCCACCACCCAAATAGTACCTGCTCTGTGAGGGTCCATGGGGGTTGGACAAGGTAAAAGGGGGCTAACAAAGTATGCAGAGAAACAGATGGACTACAGTCTGTAATTGTAGAACTACAAAGTGCACCTATATAGTAAGTGGAGCTGATAAAATGGACAATGAGCGTAGAAACAAGGAGGTGGTCATAATGTTATGCCTGATTGGTGTACACTATTACATAGAAATGAATGGGGATTCTAAAATATTACTAAAGTTACTAAAATTACTAAGAACATATGAATGAGAACTTTACACTACAGCTCACAAATGAATGAAAATTCTCTACTCTATGTGTGAGCCTGTGAAAGGCCTCCTAACCCAGTGATCTCCACATTAATGTCCTAAATGTGTGTGTGGCTATACAAGATGCCATCACCTGCAGCGGGCCTGGCTGGCCGTGGGGCTGCCTCCTACGTGTCTGTTTGATGAGCTGGCAGTAGATCTCGTTCTGCAGCTCAGGGTGTGTGAGACACACCTGTAGTGCACACTGGGCCAGTGTCACATGGTAGTCTATGGCCGGAGTGTCAATGGCTACATTGATGAAGAGCTGGCATGTCTGAAGAAGAAGCATGGTGCAGATTTAATATGGCAGCAGTGGTGGTATAAGTGAGATGTTGTGCTGAGGCATAATCAGCACATGGTCACTGCCGTAACCAAAACGTCTTACAGCAGTACGCTAATGTCATGAGATTTAATGTCAAATGATTTTTGACCATTGCTATTGGTCCATTCAGAATGAAACACAAACTGTGGAAAAAGCAGCTGATGTTTTTAAATGGTGTTATAAAAATTAAAAAAGATGTAAAAAAGCATGTATAATAAAAACAGTACACAGCATGGCTGGGCAGTATTCTGACCTTAAAAAGTTTGATGGCTTCAGTCTGCAGGGCTTGTGAAGGCAGGGTGGTGAGAGGGGAAGTTAGGCCTTCCTTACTGAAGCACAGCATGGGATGCCTCCACACCTGAGAGCCTGCGGAGGAGTAACGGAAACTGAGCCAAACGCATTCACTCGGACACATCCATACATTATATTGAGGTTCTTTATACTCACACATCTCATGTTTTATTAACACCTTAAAATCTCAGGCTTATTACATACAATGGGTCATTATTCAGTAACTACAAGGATTTCAATGCAAACTGGTTGAACTATTCTTAGGTTACAGAAGTGTGTAGCAAAGTTTTGGGCCTGCTGGCAGGCCCTGGCCATTTAAGGAGTTGAGAACCATGTCAATACAAATGTTCTTCAGGGAACCAAAAGTGGTTCTTCTAAGGCATTGCTTCAAAAAACTTGCATCTTTATGTTAAGAGTGTGTAGGAGTACAGTCCTACCTGGTTCACCGTCTACACTGAGCAGTTTGCCAACCAGCTGCTCAAACTCGGTCCCCACCTGCCCCATGCTCGCACCCGCTGCCACTGACAAGTGATAAAGCCACGCTGCCTAAACAGCATGGGATAAAAAACAGATCAGTGTGAAAGTCAAATTAAGCCAGGAACCCCAGTTTTAATTGGTCATTCTGTCCATTCTCCTCTCTTCACGAAACTGTTACAGTTTGAGCAGCGGCAGAACTTTAGTGTGCTATAGAACCATTTTCAAAAAGGTTCTATAAAGAACCATATACAGCGCATCTTCCATCAATCTCAAGAACTCTTTCATGATACAAATAATTCTTTAACCACGAGGGTTCTTTGAGTGTTCATGGTTCTATAAAGAACCATTTTCTTTACTAACAAACACTTGAAGATCTTTTTTTTAAGAGTGCACGTTCCACCAGACTGCAGGCATATAATTATACATATATATTTATATAATTATGTAATATATCAGAAATAAATATAATAAATATAACATCAAAGTTAGCTAGCCTTTGCCCTATTTAACCTGAAGGATTGTCTGGGTTCGGTCACCCTGCTGCACACCTTCTTGCTCACTCTACTGCAATTACAAACACTCTACTGTATTACAAACAATATGACACATTCTTGAGGCTCTTCTGTCTAGTCAGCTATGGGTGCACAGAGCCCACGGCACCCACTGAAGCTCCGCCAGTTTGGTGATTGTCAGTTACAGTAGCTGACTCATCGGGATTAAACAGTGAACATTTATAGGTCAGCATGATAAAAAGTTCATACTGTAACAACATCATTACTGTGCCAAAATAATTAAACAGGGAGAGCGGGTTAGGCTAGTTTACTGCCTGTTCCTGCTGTTACCTTCTCATGCTGGGAGTCTATAAGCAGGTAAGTGGGGGCCTGGTTTAGGGGCTGGATGGAAATGGTGGAGTGTGAAGACAGCCCACTCTGCTCCCTCTTACTGTCCTCATCTGAGTCACATGACTGCTCCACTTCTTCAACACGTGCCTCCCACAGCCTGATCTGACCCAGAGGGAACTGAGCAGAGACAGTGCAGCATGCATGAGTACACACACACACAAACACACACACACACACACACACACAAACTTGAGTGTAAAATGATGGTGTCATGGCACCAGAGGGCAGTGTGTACCTTGTCCTCTTGACATCTGAAGTAGTACAGTGTCTTCCCAATGAGCGCACACCACACCTGTTTAGAATAGCCATGCTTTACCTGAAAGAAGCACAAACATTATTTTAGTCTTCTACGTTAACACCACCTTAAAGGGTCCATATCTTACGTTTCTTAAATATTTGATTTAATCTTCCTGAGGTGCATGTATAACATTTGTGTGGTTTTATGTACCCAAATGACCATTTTCCAACCTCTCTTTTTCTCTTAGAATTAAAAAGTCTGTTTTTGTTACTGTGCCTTTAAGACTGATATATGCAAATGACCTCTGCTCTGATTGGCTGCTCTGTATTGTGTATTGTAGTTGGGGCTGAAACAACTTCATTTTGAGTGGGCGGGGCTTAACTGCTATGGGCTGAATAGGTGGATATATGAAATGTGTTGGTTTCCGTCACATCACAAAAAGGGTGATTTCCAAACGGGCCATTTTTGCAGCTTAGTTTCCATATACAGACTGAGGAGTGAATGGTATACTTTTAAAGTTTAAAACTAACATTTGCTTCTTTAGTTTACAACAGGAGATGCTAGGCTAATGTTGCTAACAAGCAACAGACCTTGACTGTTACCAAACTCATCTCATCTTTTACCAAACTCATCTCATCCAATATGTGGTATCATTCCAGGCAATGGATGACCAAACACAGGGCTATGTGAATTCTTAAGCACACAGACACATTATAAGGTAACTTGGCAGAGAAACTAAGCTTTACTAATTGTTTTAATAGACGTCATCTGAGTGTTCATGGCCTGCTTTAGTGGTACTGATACTTACTCTTACTTACTCTTGAAGTTAAGAGATAACAGCAGAAAGGAAGATGTTTAATTACATATAATACCCTAAATTGGGGTGCTATGTATAAAAAAGGCTGCGATTCCTACATGGTACATCTGATATACAGTCTTATTCAGAGGTTTGGGCACCCCTGGTCAAATGTTTTGTGAAAAAAGGTTCTTCTACAGTGAACACACTGTGGATGTGGTGACTTATTTTCACTTAGAAAATACAAGGAGTTCAAATTTTTGCATATGACTGTGGCTGTACTTTTTTAATTTCTTTTTTTTCTATTGTGTGGGGTAGACTTAAAGGGGAACTCCACCAATTTTTCAAAAATTCTGATTAATTAAATGGTTAAGATGTAAACAAAGTCATTCAGTGTAGTTTGGTGCAAAATACTTAATTCTAGAGAAACTTAGGAAGTCAGAATTGTTCACAGTGGTAGTGTTAGGAACCAGACGTCTGAAGAGCTTAAGGCCTCTAAAAGCTACATCACAGAAAGTTATTACATTAAATGGTTATGAATACTCAGCCTGATGTCTGAGACATTGTTTTACAGTAGTTTTGGCCTATTTTTACTTAATTTATTCTAATCTGTTCATGGTGGAGGGATACATTAAGGGTGTTCTAAGGCAAAATAGTCCCCAAAGAAAACTTTTTTTTTTTCAGATTTACCACTATTTTACCATCATCAACATTACCTATAAAAACATCAGAAGGCTTGTATACATTGGTGGTTTTGGATAGTAAATAAAATGGCTATATTTGTGTTGTAGACATTAGGACCCCTGGTTCCTATCACTACCACTGTAATAAAATCAGAGTCAGTAAGTTTCTCTACAAATGAACTATTTCGCATCAAACCACTCTGGATGACATTGCTTACATTTCAACCACTGAATTATGCAGACATTTAGAAAAAATGATAATTCCCCTTTAAGCAGAAAACAATGGCAATAATTGCAAAACCTTTATCAGGTGTCCCCTCATGGCTGGCCGGACATCAGGCTGGGTGAAGAGTGGACTGGCTGCTTTAACCCTCAGCACGCACTGCAGGACCCTCAGCCACTCCTCAAGCAGGTTAGGAGAGTCCGCCTTCAGATTATACACACGCTTTCCCGTCACCACCTGACCAGCACATACACACACACTCAGACACATGTAAACACGCACAAACACGCCAAGGTTTCCTTCCATGTGGACAATAACTACAGGAGAGTACCTGAAGCATTTGCTTGCCGTCCCCACGGGCAATGGTGCTGGAAGCACTGAGCTCAATTTGGCCTTGAGGTTTGCGGATGACATCGCTCTACAAAAAAGGAAATCATTTACCACCCTAACAGGAGCCACTAATCCTGCCATATAATCATGTACTATGAGCAATTACATTACATGTACACACAAGACTGACCGGTGACTTGTAATACAGCAGTTCTCCATCTTTCAGGACGAACCAACGGCGCTTCCACGTCTTCTTCCAGGTCTTCACCATCTTCAACAGGTATCCAGACTTTTCCATCGGCTCCTGGGTCACCACAACATTACCTCTTGAATGATTAACTGTGAGTAAACTAGTGGAACATGACTGTGTGTGTGCGCGTGTGTGTATTTCGTACACTCTTGCCGCTGTCACTACTGGCTGAGCAGGTCTTTGGCAGTTTGTTCTCAGGCTCTGAGCACTCTGTATCAGTAGAGTAGGCATCCGGTGGAATGGCGTAATCACTCTCAGACGCCATCGAAGACAGGGACACAGCTGAGGCAACAGAGGAGAAGGAAAGACCTGTGATTATGTGTGTTGGGGGCTGACTAATATATAGTTTGGCCGATAAAATGAACAGATTTATCCGCATCAGTGGAAATCACGTCAGTACAGCACCAGTAATGACAGAAGCTTCTTCGTTGATCCGCAGCTTTTTTGTCCATTTTGTCTAAAGAACTACTGAAAAATGTAGAACTCCTTGAATAAATGAATAACTTAATGGCCGTTTTGACTGGAAATAAAAAAAATGAAGGGTGGTCTCTTGACTCTGAATGAATGTTATATTAAAAAATACATTGTGCTGCTGCTTTGAACAACAACCAAACAAACTGTCAAGCGCTGAGGAGGTGGAGTTAAGTATAGTGGGAGTTTATGACTTCATTATTTCTTCTTCTAATTACTTCTGATGTTTATTTGGGTTCATGAAATCTGAAAATCTCTCTAGTTTTAGTTAAACAGTGCTTGAGTCTGCTTAATATTTGATCACATCAAATGATACTGGTCAATATTTTTGCTTATCAGACTTTTTTGTAATTCCTAGTAGTTATTGGACAATACATCATAAAACTAAAAACAGATCAACAAATTGTTCTGGTATTGGTGACAGGACTTTCATATTAGTCGGGTTTTAGTGTGGATGAGGCAAAAAAAAAAGAGAGTCTAAGGCGAAGATGTCTAATCTTGTCCACAAGGGGCTGGTGTGGCTGCAGGGGCTCATTCAAAACAAGCAGGAGCACATTTGACTCTACTCATTTAATCAACTGGTTTCAGTCTTTGGACAATTGATCACCTGCTTGGTTGAAATAAAAACCTGCAACTACACCTGTTCTTTGCAGATGAGATTAGACAACTCCTTTCCTAAGTGTGTACCTCTCTTGAGAGAGCGGGGGCTGTCATGGCTGTTGCCTTTGCCGGAGATGGAGCCAGAGGTGTACGAGCCGCTCTCCTCCTCGCCGGAGTTCGAGAGACAGTCCTCAGAACTCTCGTCCTCCTCAGAGCTGGATGACTCTTCTGACAACTGACTACTGCTTAGCAATGTCGCCCTCTACAGGAGAAAACACAGTACTAAAAGACCACATACACATCCTTATCGTCTTCTGAACAATACTCGGCTCTAAAAGCCACACCTACCCCTTTGACTGTGGTGTAGACAGGTGTGCTCATGTTCCTGTAGATGAGGGATGTGTAGAGCATGAAGGCAGGGTATGAGGATGGGTGGGAGGAGTCTGGGTAAAGAGTACAGGACTGAGATGAGCACAGACACACACAGAGATATACACCTTAGATAGAACCAGAACCTACTGGAGAAAGACCAGTATCTATATAGTTATTAGTTATGGTCTGATGGTAAACCCAAAATACAGGGCAGATACAGTGTAGGTCAGTGGTTCTTAAACTGGAAACCCTCACAAGACTGTCCACATTTTTGTTTGATCTCAACTCCTAACATATAGCGAGAGAGCAAAAATATGGACCATCTGGGGGTACTTGAGGGCCAGTTTGGGAACCATTGGTATAAGTACTAATGCATTTTAAGGTACACTTTATGTAAGTACATATAAAATAAAATAACAATAGAAATACAAATAAAATGTTTTTACTGATGGTTTTGGCCTGGTCAGTGTCCAGATTTAAACCCTATAGAGAGTATTTAGTCTCATATTTAACACAAACTAGCCTGGCAATGTTTTTCAACTGTTTGAAGCCGTCAGTGCTGAGTGGAAAAATACTGACTCTACCTTCTAAAAGGCTGTCTGCACATTTACCCACAAGACTTCAACATTTAATGAAATCAAAGAGAAAAGCTATCCCATATTAAGTTACTTTACCTATTTGTTTAATGGTTTGTTGTTAAGACCATTAAAAGCTTAATGTTTTGCCACTTTGGGCTTGGCCCATTTTTGTCCAGGAGTGTTCACTATACAAGCAAAGCAAAATAACCTTATTCATCCACCAGCATTCATCATGGATGTGGAGTGTGATGAGAGATGCTCTTGTGGGATGTGAGGGATAATGAGGGCAGTTGTAAAGTAAGTTAACAAAGTCTCTACAGGGAACACATGTCTGCACATTTTAAAGCACAATTATTGTTTATTTGCTGAATTTAACATACTGAAAAAAAACAAAATATAAAATGTGGCCTATTTACTTTTTCCAGTATGCTAAACAAATAAACATAAAAAAATAAATATACAAATATTGTACGCTATAATTTGCAGAAGAGTGCAATGCCATAAGTTTGTTCCCTGTATAACAACATAAATAATATTACATAATATACGTAATTGACGTGTACTTGAAATTGCATTAAAAGTGGAGAAAAATGACAGTGCCACATACCAAGATGACAAACTTTACCTTTATTAGCTACATCTGCGCAAGATGTTTCCGACAGCCGAATTCCAGATTTGGCCACTGCGTATATTCTGCTCTCCTGAGAAGAAAACATAATTTAAAAATAATGGCGAAATAATTGAGTGTTTTAAACAGGCTTTTGTATGTGTGATTATTTAGGCATGTAATTTCTATGATGTTAATTGTGGGGTGTCCATTACTTATTAGCTACATTAGCCTCATGGCTCCAATGCAAAAGGAAGAAATCATAGGATGCACGTCTTTACTGAAAATTGAGTGAATTAAATTTCTTTTTTTTTTTAACTATCACTTTATGAGGCCCCATTCTCACCCAAGAGGGAAACCTGTGCAGTGGAGGGGTGGGAGGCTTGCTTCCTTGCACAGCAGCAGAAGCATCAGGCTTCGTCTGATCATCTACTGGGGCTTGAGATGACCCTTCACTGGTTTCCATCTCCTGCTCTAGGTCCAGGTCAGTCTCCTGGGGCTTCAGTGGACGCAGCATGCTGATAGCGTTGCGGCTTCTTCCATGGGCCACTTCACTGCACAGTTGAGGCTGACTCAGGTGCTTCTTAGCTACTGTTACGCTAACGTTAAAGGTGTTGGGGGTCCGCAGTCGTGGCTGCTTGGGGGAGGCAGGCGTGTCCTGGGTGTCCTGCGAAGGCGTGGGGCGCTTTGGGGTGAGGGCGGGGGTCAGGATGGGGCTCGGGGTGTTGGCCTCGCTGGAGGAGGACGAAGAATTAAGGCACTGCGACTGGAAGCGCTTATTCAACTCATCTGAGCAGATGTCCTCTAGGTCTGCCTTTTTGCAACCTTTGATCTTGGCCATAGTGTCTGTTCCTGGGAGGCAGAAGGAGGGACCCCCCGTCCGCTGCATGTCATCATCGAAGAGTGAGCTGCTGTCGTCGGAGGCTGTCAGGTAGGCTTCACTGGTGGGTCGACTGAGCTCCAGGCCACTGCACGCAACTGCTTCGCTATCAGAGGCAGCGCTGGACAGGATGGAGAAGACATCACGAGACAGAGCATCACTCACAGCTTCACCGTCCTTCACCTCCTCTGATTCTGTTCTACAACTGGGAGTCCCATTCTCGGCCTCAGAAGTCTGTTTTATGCCATGGTCTGAGAAGGAACACAGAAAACCAGGGTTATTTCATTCCTATAGTTAAATAAACAGCTTTACCAAATACTTTGGTGCATTACATTTATACAGTGAACATGTACACTAACTGGCCACTTCACTAGGTACACATCTTGGTAACTACAATCATTGTCCATTTTATCAGCTCCACTTACCATATAGGTGCAGTTTGTGGTTCTACAATTACAGACTGTAGTCCATCTGTTTCTCTGCATACTCTACCCCTTTCACCCCGTTCTTCAATGGTCAGGCCCCCCCCAGGACCACCACAGAGCGCGTATTATTTGGGTGGTGGATCACTCTCAGCATTGGTGGCGTGTTAGTGTATGTTGTGAGTCTGAGTGGATCAGGCACAGCAGTGCTGCTGGAGTTTTTCAACACCTCAGTGTCACTGCAGGACTGAGAATAGTCCACCAATCAAAAATATCCAGCCAGCAGCGTCCTGTGACCACTGATGAAGGACTACAGGATAACCAACACAAACTGTGCAGCAACAGATGAGATACTGTCCTATGACTTTATAATGGCTTTATAAGGTCTTTATAATGACTTTACAAGGCGAATCAACAAGGTAGGTGTGTCTTACAGAGTGGACAGTAATTGAACAAGACTTAACAAAACTTTAATAACTCCAGCAGCAACTGTTTTGTGCTGACTGTCTGATTACTGTGTCTGATTGCTCAGACCAGCACAACACAAACTTACACAAAATTCCCAGCACTGCAATGGCACATCAGTGTGAAAGGGGTCTGTAATTGTAGAACTACAAAGTGCACCTATATGGTAAGTGGAGCTGATAAAATGGACTATGAATGTAGACACAAGGTAGGTGTATGTAATGAAGTGGCCAGTTGGTGTATACCTTGTATACTATTGCACACTATTATGTACATTACAATGACTGACAATGAGGTTGGCTGTATTGGAAGGTCCAAAACATATTTACTTTTGGGTTGATGGTCTGTGCAATTACTATTAGCTTTCATTAAGGTAAAGGTTCAGCAAACAAATCAAATGTCATCAATTTTCCCCAATTTTTCTTCAGCCAAGACAAAGTTTTTTGCACTGGAGGCATCGGCCTAGTCCAACCAACAAGTAATATACCTCATCGCTTATGCCTCACTAATTAGCACTGTGCAAACTGCATGCCTAAAGCATCACACATGAGGTTGTTAAGTAATCTCAGATAGACTTGTTGGATTGACTACATATACGGTAAAGGATGTAAACTTAATTTTTAACTTAACTATTCCTCTGAATACAACCTGAAATCTAACTGTTATTGTTTTCCTTGTTAGTTCATATCCTATGACATTTTAATGCCTCAATTAAGGTCTTAATGGCAGAGCAAAATAATATTAACCAATAATATGAAGTTTCCATTTCCATTCCCACCGCACCTATCATCAAACAAAGCACCTAGCTAGCTCAGAGACCCTCCCTGATACAGAGTTTCTCTCAGATGTACATCACAGTATGGAAGGACAATCTGTAATTGTTATTTCTGAATCACAGTGACTTTAAGATCATATATAGTAATGATGTCTCTGACCGGTGGAGGGTCTCCTGCAGTCCGTGCGCATGTGGTGTGTACACACACTGCTGTTGCTCTTCTGAGCTGGCACTGGACCTGTCAGCACCTGAAGGCTCTTCCCTCGGACCTGGAAGCAGCCGAAGGTCAGACTGCTGAGCCGCTGAGCCTCTCCGGGTTTGGTGTGGGCTCCAACGGCCTGCTCCAGGACTGACACGCAGAAACATTACATTACATTACAACTAGAAATTGAGAAGGAAGGCTGCAAACTACAGTATTAGTTAAAAAAGAATGGATACACTTACTCATAAAAAGCTTTTGTTACTATTTTTCATATTTTAGACTAATAGTGAAGACATCAAAACTATGTAATAACGTGTAATTGTCAGACATCAACAAGTTTAAAGGGCCCATATAATTTTCAACTTTCTTGCATTTTATATTCTTCCACTTTTGACATTTGTGTACCAATTCCATCCACTAATTAGGTCTCCACCAACACAATACCACCAGCACTAGGAGGGCGAAAGCTAGCACAAGCTTTCGAGACCTGTGAAGCGGCACCATGTTTTTGAACTGCTGCTAATGCAAAATCATTGGAGAGCTGAACTTGCTTGGAGGAAAGCGTCAACTGCCAGTTCTGGCATCGCGCTGGGTGATGGGAGAATAGGGGGGACAAACCTACACCCCCATAGAGAAAGGCCAATTGTGCTCTCTTAGACTCCTGGCCACAGATGGCCGTAGCATCACCAGGAATCAAGCTCACGATCTCCTGATGATACAGCCAATTTGTGTGGTTTTATGTAGCAAAATTAGTCATAATTAACATTTACGTGACAATTTTCCAACCTCTCTTCATCCCTTAGACATAAATAAGCTGTGTTTGTTATTGTACCTTTAAGACTGAGGGATGTAAGTGACCCCTGTCCTGTACTGTACCTTATTTGAAAAGCGATCTGTGTTGCAACACTCCTTATACTTTCAGAGTGCGTTGGCTGGGCTAAAGTGCTATAGACTGAATAGGAGGATATATGTAAATAAAGTGGATTGCATAACATCACAAAACTAGTGAACTAGAAATGGGTGGTTTTTGGAGCTTAGTTTCCATATATGGACTGTTTGGACTGGGGAACTTTAAATCTGTAAGAAAAATACATACTACAATGAACTCTTATTTAAAAAAATGTGGGGGAAATTCAGTTTTTCATGATATTGACTAAATCAAACTTTCTATCTTATCTATTTAAGATTTTCCAAAGTAGCCTCCTTTGCCTTGATGCAGCTTTTCACAGTTGTGGTATTGTTAAAATACAGAGGGTGTGTAAAGCAACTCTCGTAGCTTCATGAGGAGCTTCCTGAGGAGCTTCCTGAGATGATAATTTAAAAGTGAATTATTTTTGTTTGCGAAATAATTTCATACATTGGCATCCCCTTCACTATTTGTATTTGACTCAGGCAAATTTCATTCACATTTAAACATAAGCCTTTTGATCAAAATGACTTTAAGAATAAGAAAAGTGCATATTCAGTTAGGTGTGCCCAAGTCGTGACTGGCACTATAACTAGTGTAGATATTGTACTGACACAAAGTTGTTCTGTGCGTTTATGTGCTTATGTAACCGTACCTTGAATCTGTCTTTTCAGTTCCAGTATCTGAGTCTCCTGCTGCTGGTTCGTTTCCCTCAGGGAGGCATTTTCTGCTTCAAACTAAATCCACAAGGAAATCAGATACAACACTGTGGCACACAGACAGGTACATACACACATATGAACGTACAAACAAACCTCATTCAGCTTCCGCATCACCCACTCCTTGATCTTTGCCGCTTTCTCCTCTACAGTCTTGGCGTCTTGGATTCGGCTCTGTTTCTGTAGGAGAGAAGGAGAATTAGGCCTCTGGGCAGTCGCATCCATGGACATTAAGTTACTAAAGCCCAACAAATTCCTAGGATTTGTCTGAGCCTTTTGAAAATACTGAGGGGAGCTTTACAGATGATGCATGCCTGACTGCTGCTGCAAACATCTCCTTCAAATACTATGAACAGTTCTAAGAACCAAAAAAAACAAAAAAACACTCCAGGATGAGAACCTGCTTTTAATGCATAAGCAATGCTGGTTATTGTTTAATTGAGAACTGACTGATAATCAAATCTTTGCTAAGAAAAGGCTTCAAAAGTTTCTAAATCCAATAAATAAATAAATAAATAAATAAGGACTTGAAATGTATTTAAAAGTAATATTGTGACTCTTGTACACAATGGCAATCCTATCTTTTTAACAAACATCTAAAGGGCTCATATCACGGAAAACTGTCCTTCTTTTTAAATAATAAATTAGCATAAAATTTCAATATATACCATTCGCTCTCCAGTCCACGCGGTCCATATATGGAAATTAGGCTGCCAAATCATGTCACAAAAACAAATATATTTACATATATCTGCCTATTCAGCCTTCAGCAGTTTAGCTCCACCCATTCACATTGATGTTATAAGTAGTGTTTTGACCCATCCTGCTTTCTGAACGATTGTAAAAACAGGGCAACCAATCAAAAAAGAGTTATTTTACATATTGAAGTCTTAAAGACCTAGGAACAAGAATGGCCTATTTAATTCTAAGGGATAAAAAGAGGTTGGAAAATGGTTGTGAGGGAATTAAAAAATGTGTGAGGGCCCTTTAAATGAAAAATGTTTCCAATTATATGAGGAGTGTGAAAGGTCCTGCCTGCTCTCTGGTGACTGGGTGAGGTACCGACCTGTTCCTCCAGCTGCTGCTCCAGCGCAGTAATGAGCTCCTCTTTCTCCTGCAGAGCAGCCTGGAGGTCCTGACAGCGTCTGAACAGCCTCAGCTCAGAGTCACTGGACTGCACATCTGCAGCCTTCAGACGCTCCTCCATCCACTGCACCTTAAATACAAACATAACACACACGATCAATGACCTGGATATACAGCACTGCACAGAAGTCAGAGATCACCCTCTTGTTTATTCAATATCCAGTCAAAACAGCAATTAAGTTTAAGTTATTTTGAACGTCAGAAAAAAGCAGAAACATGTAATAATTAACAAATATATTAAACAGCACTAGAACAGTGAAACTGGGCATCTGAGGTCTGAGATGTGGACTAAGGTTTCATTGACTGATCTTTGGAAGTAACAGAAGACATTATGAACACTTCCAAGAAAGGGTGGTCTCTGACTTTTGCACAGTACTGTACAGTATCAGCACTGTTTGCCATGGACACACAAACACATGGTGAAACATAAGATACATACAAGACGCTGCCAGTGTTTACCTGTTGGTTTGCCTCACTTGCCCGCCTCTCTGCCTCCAAAACTTGTGACTCCAACTGCTGCATCTGCAACACAACATAAACAATAAACATGCATCTGTGTGTGTGACTGTGTGTTTGTTTTCATATATTTTCTGGGCAGATGTTCTGATTGTGAAGGACAAACAGTGCAAAAACAGGGCTAAGCTAGTTTCAAAGGACTGGTAAGATGGTCCCAATAAGGTAATGTGCTTCAAAAACTACTCATTTTCACTGATTCTTTTTTTTTTACTCAAAGAGAATTTTTTGGATACTGAGATATTTGATATTGATTATATATATGTTGTCAGAAGAAAACCCACTGCAGGACTGTAGGTAACAAGGAAGTGTCCATAAGAGAGATTAGCTTATGTAAATGGCTACAGTTTTCAAAGGATTAGTTCACTGCCCTTCGAGTATATCAGATAACAATCAACCATGGCAAATAAAAAAAAGCCTAAAACAACACACACTCAAAAGAAAGAAATCGCAGGAATTTGAACAAGCTTACAGGCAAAGCCTCTGGCTCATACTGTACATAACACAAGTGCCAGTTTAAATCACAGTTTTCTAAACAGTCCACATGCCATGCAAATGCTGAAACCCTTCAAAATACCACACTGAGACAATATTGTGACTTTCAGCACATTCTCCCCATTCAACCTTCCTTCAGTGTCTGAATACTGTTGACTCACCACAACATCTGTGCTGTTCATTCCAGCCAAGGAATTAAAATTAAGATGTTATTTTATATGTGTCTGGATTAAATGAGAAAACTTTATCATCTGCTAAACATAATGTCACATTTCTCAGTATTTAGTGCGTCCACGCTTTGCCTTTATTACAGCTAGCGTTTTTTGGGGGGCTCACTTTCAGTTTTTCCGAGATATCTGCAGGGATATTTTTCCACACCTCCAAAGTTCAGTCTTAGACGTTGGTTGCATTTTCTGCTTCTCACAATCCAAGATTACCAAATATAAATTTAGTCTAATCAGTGCATAAAAGCGTATTGTACATCTCAGACATAAAGTTTCAGCGTTCTAGCACAAATTTTTCTTGCAGAGGAAGCCCTTCACAGTGGAAGGATAGACTGAAACACCTGTGGATGTTTCCAGATCTGAATCAAGAGTGGAGCTTGATTTTCTCCTCTCTCTCCAAGGTGAAAGCTTTAAGTACCATTTCAATACTGACAGATTTGATATTATACTTACTGGAGGTTTTTTGTGTGACTTTCTGTTAAATACATTAGAATTACTCAAACTTAACGGCTGTTTTGACTGGAAACTAAATAAATGAAAGGGAGGTCACTGACTTTTGCACAGTACTTAGACACATAATACAAGTTCACAAAAAGAAAAGAAAATCTCAGCTTTCGTCTCTCATTCTTTGTCACACACACACACAAACGCAAAATGATTCGACTGGGTTACTGTGACCTGCAGGTCCAGAGAGGAAACAGACTATCCGGTCATTTATTTAGGACAATGAGTTACACAAAAAATTAAAGAGGTGGAAACACCAAGGTCAAGGTCTATTTAGAGCTTTAATGCTGAGGCTAAAAGGCACCCACCAGTAAACATAATCCAAGTGCCATTTTGAAAGAAAAAATACTTGACAGTCTCCGTTCATCATTAATCTGATTAAACAAATCAGTAATAAGCTCTTCATCTCAACTCTGTTTTGAACATATGAACGCTCACTCACAACCTATCACAGTGCAACAATAAAGGTAGCCTCAAGCTTCTTTTATATAGTGATAATAGCAGACAGAAACATGCTAAACATGGGCACTCATGTGTCCTAATACGGAGGCACATTTTAATGATTATCTCCAAATTCTCTGAAAGTACAGCAATTGAGATGGTAGGCAGGGCTGCACATGCAACAATACTGTTGCACATGTTAGACAAAATGAATCCTGTGTGAATATAAGAAACTTCATGTGTAGTCTACACACATACATTCAAACATTTGCTCAAGTCCTAGTGCTCATGAAACTGTGAACTCTTCTCATAAGTGTAGTTATGCGAAATGTGACACAGGTTGATTTCTAGTGTTTATGGTAGTTGCAGTCCATCTGGTAACTCGCACACTGACGAACAGATTCAAATGTCTTGCTTCCTGTTCTGAAATTTGTGACAGCAACCATATGCAAAATCCTGCTGGAGTGAGTTTATGTTAACCCTTGTGTGGTGTTGGGGTCTGTGGGACTCATTTTCAATGTTTACCAAAAGAAAAAAATGATGCAATGTATTATTATTTGAGCCTCATATTCTTTGTCCTTTGCTCATTTTCTGTGAAGAACATATAAAATAACACATTTTCAGTGACTTCACACTGTTCACCCCCCACACACTTATATTACACATGTGGTGTTGGATGTCTGTCTGTCTGCCCTGTGATGGACTGGCGACCTGTCCAGGGTGTATCCTGCCTTCCGCCCAATGACAGCTGGGATAGGCTCCAGCACCCCACCGTGACCCAGAAGGATAAGCGGTTTAGATGATGTATGTATGTATGTATGTATGTAGTGTTGGGTGAACCTGCGGTTGATAAAAGTGTGGAGGTGCTGTGTCCTTCACTCTGTTCTCCTCATACATGGCCTGCTGTTAGTGTGTGTGTGTATGTGTTTGTATATATGTGTGTGTGTGTGTGTGTGTGAGGGTGGACAACATGGACAGGCTGCTGACTGGCTACAGCTGCTAAAGGAGAACTCTACGCTGACCTCTTGTGACATTTTAAACATCTGGTATTTTCACATACATTATTATGGCTGTATTGATTTTAAAAAACAATGGGTCCAACAGACCCACTGAGTTACAACAACATGAACACCACACAAGGGTTAAATAGTGCCCCAATGTAGGCATCAGAATTAATTCTGCATATTTCATGCAATGAGCATTATTATTCAGGCTATTTCTGTTTTTTTACAGTTAAAATTACAAATTGTTGCACTATTTGGGATGAATACTTAGAATAATTATAAGGTAGTTTTTATTGAAGTGTTTCAGTGCTACAATATTTTAATCTGTGCTAAAAACCTTGCAACTTTAATAGCACCAGCACTACATGCTCAAAAAGTTGTATGACCTCCTGTCAGGTAAGGTTAACAAGCAAAAAATAAAAAAGATGTGTAGAACAAAAATCTGCAGTTGAATTTAACAATATACCACTTGTGGGGCAGTCTCCCTCCCTCCCTCCCTCCCTCCCTCGCTCACACACAAACACTTCACACATTCCTTGGCTCAAAGTTGCGGAAAACTATCAGAGACAAGTGCTTTGGATGGATCTTTAAAGGCCAGAGTTCTAATACTTACGGTAAAAGGAGGTCAAAAGAGCACAAGCTGTGGTCATACAAAACACTAAGCTTTTGTCACAGTCTCTCAAGCATGGCTAGCCTCCCACACACTCGTCTGGCTGACCGTCATTACACACTGATTGAAGTTGGCCAGTAGAATGATGCGTCCTTGACCCGTCTGAATCAGATACTGTCAGATGGTCCACTGCAAAGCCTGTAATTTTCCTTGAATTCAAAGCTGATAACTTCAGCTTTACAGTGATCCTAAAGTCTGACTGTTATAACCTACACTGCTTGTTAAAGAGAGTGATGCATTTCTGGAGCCCACACATGTTCATAGTCACTTAGTATATTAAATTAGAATTAGTTACTTTATGGAAAATTAATGAAGCTTAAAAGCTAAGCCTGACCCTACAAATGGTTACTGACTGTAATGCCAACTGTGATTCACTCCTGTTTCTACTCTGAACAATATAAATGTTTTTTGTATGTTTATGCAGTGGCCCCCCGCCACAAACAACAGGGTTGTTGTGTTCAAATGACATGCTGTTATACTTTACTTTAGAACAGGAAAAAGTCTTTTTCATGGCTCTTGTGATTAGATTAGATGACAATAGATTTATTTAGCTGTCTTTAAATAAGTTCTTTTTAATTCTATAAACACTATATTTATGACTAGAGATGGCACAGATACAACTTTCTCGTTCCTGATACCAATAACCTTGAGTATGGGCCAATACTGATCTGATATTCCTTTAACTACTGAGCTTTAAAGGGGAACTCAACTGATTTTGCAAAATTGCTTAATCATTCAGTGGTTCGGTGTGAAATGCGCCTTTCTAGGGAAATTTACTGAGTCAGAATTGTTCACCATTATAGTACGTTTGAATGAATAATCTGATATCTGCAGAAAATCAACACATTTATATACACTTGAGTAATTAGGTAACGTGAAACTCCGGGTCTATATGAGTCAGACAATGATCAGATTTCTGCTTTACAACCAGCCAATAAGCTCACAGAAGAAGACGTGACCTAAACATAATGTAAAACTCAAACTCCATACCGTAGCTTTTTTTTTAAATCATAGCGCCACTTTACCTGAAAATATGAACGTACATCATCTAACATGTAATCTATAATCTAAAATAAAGAATATTTAAATCTCACAGCAACGCTGCTTACTTTTTTTTGGTACAGCAGTCTGTTCCGCACATGCGCAGACTGAGAAATCCAAAAGAAATCAGAGTAAGAGTTTACATGCAGAAATCTGATTACTGAGCTAAAATCCAGCTCTCTTTATCAAATTTTTCTTAATTGAATTTCTAGATCGGGGTTTGATGTTTACATGACCATTTGAATAATCAGATACCTGCAGAAATCCGATTATCATTGGATTATTGAGTGCATGTAAATGCATTTGTTGTTTTGTGATAGTTTTGTTATAAAGTTTTTGCTATCCAAAATGACCAGTGAACTGACGTGTCTTATCAGTGTAAAATCTTATAAGACACGTTAGTTCACTGGTCAATTTGGATAGCAGATAAAATGATATTTGTAGTGTAGACATAACGATGTCTGGTTCCTAGTACTACAATGGTGAACAATTCTGACTCGGTGGAGTTCCCCTTTAAAATAAATTGTTTTCAATAGAAACACTTCAGTTAAGATGAGCATCTAAAAGTAGGCCATCATACTCAAGCTACTCAATCACTCTACTACCCATGGGAAGAAATACACAGCTAAC